AACAGGAAAAGTAACAGAACAATAACAGTAGCAATAACAGTTTTTAACAAGAACAATACGAGAACCGTAAATTAACTGTAACAGAACAGTTAAGGAACAATAACAGGACAGTGAGGTAACTCTTACAATTTAGTGACAGGAAAAAGTAACATAACAATATTAGTAACAATAAAACTTTTTAACAAGAATAATAACAGAACAATAAAGTAACTGTTACAATTGTGTAAAGGAACAATAACAGAACAGTTAATAAATATTAACAGACCAGTAACATAAAAGTAACAGAACAATAACAGTAACAATAACAGTATTTAACAAGAACACTAACGGAACTGAAAAGTAACTATTACAGTAAACTGAACAGAACAATAACAGTAACAACAGTTATTAGCAAGAACAATAACAGAAGAGTAAATAACTGTAACACAACAGTTAAGGAACAATAGCAGAACAGTAAAGTAACTCTAACAGTATAGTAACAGGAAAAAGTAACAGTACAATAGCAGTTACAATAACATTTGTTAACAAGAACAATAACAGAACAGTAAAAGTGCAATAACAGTTGTTAACAAGAACAATAACAGAACAGTGAACTAACTCTAACAGTATAGTAACAGGAAAAAATAACAGACACAATAACATTTTTTAACAAGAACATAACAGAACAGTAAAAGTACAATAACAATTGTGGACAAGAACAATAACAGAACAGTAAAGAAACTGTAACAGAACAGTAAAGGAACGATAACATAACAATTAATTAAAGTAACTATAACAGTATATTAACAAGAACGAGTAACAGAACAATTACAGTAACAATAACAAACCAGTAAAGGAACAGTAACATTTGTTATGAGGAACAATAACAGAACAGTGAAATAACTGTAACAGAATAGTAATGGAACAATAACAGGAAAGTAACTATAAATGTATAGTAAGAGTAAAAAGTAACAGAACAAAAACAGTAAATATAAAGTTGACAATATCAGAACAGTCAAGGAACAATAACAGTTATGAACAGTAAAAAAACAGAACAGTAACGTAACTGTAACAATATACTAAGAGAAATAATAACAGAGCAGTAATGTAACAAAAGCAGTTGTTAACCGGAACAATAACAGAACATTAACTGTAACGCTATAGTAATAGGATCTGTAACAAAGAAGTCACTTATAATTAAAATTACACTGAAAAATAGGAACTGAGTTATGAAGTTTTATCATTTTGTTCAATTTTTTAACATTACTTTAGCAGTATAATCATGTAATATAAAATATGAAACTTACTTTGTTTTCAGGATTTGGGAGTAATGTCGACATTTTCGAGATATTTCATTTTCTAGCATACAGCTGTTGACATTTTCAGTTCAATTTCCCTACACTACTGCTGAATGTCCTTTTAACTAGGTTAAATAGGTACCAGAACCTCTGTTGTGCCAGAACAATTCTATGTATGTGCACCTAGACAAGCACTTCTTCCAGCACAAGTGTTTTATATTGTGTGCATGTCACAATATTTGTAAACCCTCTATAACAACATTATAATTCAAAGCAGGGTCTCTATGCTTCATTTCTACAAAAGTCACTGACTGAATTTAACTGTACTTCATGATTGATGTATATATAACCTTAAATTAGCCGACTGTGATAACAAATCAACTGACTGAAAATTTGGATAAAGCAATGTACCATTTACACAACAGGATAAGGGGCCCTTCTTCAAGGTGTGAAAGCTATTATCTCTGATCTGTACTATATATGTATATTTGGCCAGCAGTCGAATTGGTATGAAAAAAACTATTATAAATTTAACAATATATATATAAGAAAATTCCAGAATTTCCTGGGAATTCCCAGTTTTTTCTTTGCACAAATTACTAACAAATTTAAATATTAAAACTACTTTATGGGCCAAAATATTTCAAGAAAATCAAATATGAGAAAAATATACTAAGATTTTAAAAGAAGTTATTAAGAGTCAAGAAATAATTTACTTGTTAATTGTGCGATTAAAGACTGATTTTGCATTATTTATTCAAAAAAAAAAATCATTGCATGACAAACACGGTAAGGGCTCTTTTTGCTAATTTACGTGTAATGTAAGTGTTGAAGGTACTGAAAGGTGTAAATTACTGTTCACGCCACCTAGCACCGGCTTAAGCAGAACTCAACATTTAAACACGAAAAATAAAAAGTAAAGATATCATTTATCTGATATTCATATGCAACTTTGTCAACACTGACCTATAATACTGGCATAGGTTTATGACACTAATTATACCCCCAACACAAAATGTGTGTGTGTTGGGGGGCTATAATGGATTCGCTTTGTCGCGTCCGTCCGTCTCCATTTTAGTGTCCGCTCTGTAACTCTTATACCAATTGAAGGATTTTCTTCAAACTTGGCTCAAATGTTCACCTCAACAAGGGGATGTGCAGAACCCATATTGCCCATGTGTCAGCTCAAGGTCAAGGTCACAATTGAAGGTCAAATATCAAACACAATCAAATATTAGACAGTATGTCGTGTCCGCTCTGTAAGTCCTACACTAATTGAAAGATTTTCTTCAAACTTGGCTCAAATGTTCGCCTCAACAAGGGGATGTGCAGAACCCATGTTGCCCATGTGTCAGCTTAAGGTCAAGGTCACAATTAAGGTCAAATATCAAACAATCAAATATTACACAATATGTCGTGTCCGCTCTGTAAGTCCTACACTAATTGAAGGATTTTCTTCAATCTTGGCTCAAATGTTCACCTCAACAAGGGGATGTGCAGAACCCATGTCACCCTTTTGCCGGCTTAAGGTCAAGGTCATACTTGAAGGTCAAAAATTGACTTAGAAAATATTCTTAAACTTTAACATTTATTTGAATATTTCTGAATCTAGAAAAGGTATTTGCTTAAAAATATATATGAAGTGTCACAATTAAGATATGCTGATCAAGTTTCATAACACTGTATTGCATTTTAACAAAGTTATGCCCCTTTTTAAGTCTTCAAATTTACATACAATCAAATATTAGACAATATGTCGTGTCCGCTCTATAAATCCTATACTAATGGAAGGGTTTTCTTCAAACTTTACTTAAATGTTCACCCCAACTGGGCGATGTGCAAAACCCATCTTACCCTTGTGCCAGATTAAGGTCAATGCCACACTTGAAGGTCAAAAATTGACTTATAAATTTTGGCTCAAATGTTCACGTCAACAAGGGGATGTGCAGAACCCATGTCACCCTTTTGCCGGCTTAAGGTCAAGGTCACACTTGAAGGTCAAAAATTGACTTAGAAAATGTTCTTAAATTTTAACATGTACTTGAATATTTCTGAAACTAGCACAGGTATTTGCTTGAAACTTGAAAGATATATGAGGTGTCGCAAATAAGATATGCAGGTCAAGTTTCATTACTCTGTATAGCATTTTGACAAAGTTATGCCCCTTTTTAAGTCTTCAAATTTACATACAATCAATACTAGACAATATGTTGTGTCCGCTCTATAAACTCTATACTAATGGAAGGGTTTTCTTCAAACTTTACTTAAATGTTCACCCCAACTGGGCGATGTGCAAAACCCATCTTACCCTTGTGCCAGATTAAGGTCAATGCCACACTTGAAGGTCAAAAATTGACTTATAAATAAAATGTTTTGTACTTTGGGAAAATGAAAGGTTATTTGTAACTGTTTCGAACATGATTTGATAATATATATTTATACTATTACCTGTACAATTAGTCTTTTTTTTCACCAGAGATAATTTCTTTTTATGTATTTGTGCCACTTAAGTTATTCCCTGAACCACCTTTCCAAGTCGTCTTCTGTCAAGGACATTAGTGGGGGTATGAATCGCATTCAGCGATAGTTCTAGTTGAAGGAAGAAAAGCTCATGAATAACATTTTGTTAGACTAAGGTAAAAAAAAACACACTTTATACTATTTAAGTAACCCCACTCTGTGGGTTTTTGTTTTATTAATAAAACAGAAAAATGGTGATCAATTATTCTTTTGACATAAAATTTTAAAAACAGAACGTAATGGTTATTTATTGATTAATAGAACAGTTTATATAGTTTTATGCCGAGTCTTATATCATTAATATTCTTTGTAATTCTTTAAACCTTTTATTTTCAAATACCAAATTAAAATGATAAAATTTGAAGCAGTTTTATTCAAAATGCTCATGACATTTAACATATATTTACATTAGAATTTAAATAAACAAGAGCTGTCGGTAAGACAGCAACGCTTGACTATTATTAGTGCTTGATAGTAATAAATATGGCAAAAAAACATCAACAAAACATTCAAGCAGTGTACAGCGTTGCATAGAAAGTGTGATATGTATCCCAAGCATTAAGACTTTACGACTTACTTAATAAACATTTTTTATTTTTAGTTGGTACACTATATATAAATTCATTCTCCTGAGAAAAGTTAAGAAATACAATAACAGACCTTTAAAATTGCAATGTGTAAATGCCCATCAGCATTGCTATTCAGAAATTATGAGTCATTACATAGACATCATAATTACAAGGTAGGACATTGTCTTTGAGGTCATAAGTTAGGACATTATCTTGGAGGTCATAAGTTAGGACATTATCTTGGAGGTCATAAGTTAGGACATTATCTTTGAGGTCATAAGTTAGGACACTGTCTTTGAGGTCATAAGTTAGGACATTGTCTTGAAGGTCATAAGTTAGGACATTGTCTTTGAGGTCATAAGTTAGGACATTATCTTTGAGGTCATAAAATTAGGACATTGTCTTTGAGGTCATAAGTTAGGACATTGTCTTGAAGGTCATTAGTTAAGACATTGTTTTTGAGGTCATAAGTTAGGACATTGTCTTTGAAACGAAAAATTGTCCCAGTTTTGGTCTTTAAACTGCTTTCAGATTTAATATTTTCAATGAAAGGCAGCCAGATCTTACAGCAAATGAGTTTAAAAAGTTGCGCTAAAAATTGACAGCATCATTATTGGTTAATAACATAACACAATTCTTTTTGATATTTCTTTACTTTCACTATTCATGATCACAGCACTTATTATACGAAATAATATACATCAATATCACAAACTTCACTAGAATACACAAGGATACATAATCCTACCATTAAACAACAACAGAGTGTCTGCAGGAATTATTCAAATGTTTGTTCTCTATTTAATTTAAAGCCTTTGTCAGGTAATCTAAAGTTTTTCACAACATAACGTATTTGTTTATCTAAAATTATTTAAAAGACACACTAGCACCTGTTATAATAAATTATTTATCATTCCAAGCTCCTACCATTTAATAGCCAATGCATTTGTCATCTTTTCCACCTCATGGTATTGTGTATGTAACATTTGTTTACACTTTTTACTGTCCGTTCCACCTAACCAGTCAGAATAAAGATTTTGAACATCAGACTGTGTCCATGGATTTACAGTTTGTACTGAGTTATAAAGTTCTGTAACTTGAACCAGTCTGTCTTTGGGAGTAATCTCCCCTTCTGGTCTAATTTGGCCACCACCATTTGTACAGCCTGATGGACAGGCCATAATTTCAACAAAATGATATGGACATTTTCCACGTTTGATTTTTTGCACAATATTTTGAATGTTTCTGAAACCATAGGCTAGAGCCATTTTAAATGGTGGTTTGCCTTCTGTTTCTATAGTAACTTCTTGAAAATCTTGATTTCTGTAAAGAAAAAAATCATAAAAGAGAATTACCAATGAAATAAGATAAAAATGCTATTTTGAAATTTGCCATTGTGTTAAATAGGTAAACTAGAAATGTCCATAGGACACGGATGCCCCCACACACCACTGTTCTGTCAATCTTATGACTCTAGGTCAAATATTTTTTGGACTACATGTGCCACAAGTTGAAAACTAAATATCAACAAAGGGCCATAATTCTGTTAAATTTGGTCACAGCAAAAATTCCTTCCTTTACTACCATCTTCACATTAAGGTTGTTAATCCCTGGAAGTTTAAGCAAAATCTGCCATCCGGTTTAAGAGGAGTTGCGTTCACAAAATTTCTACAAAGTATATAATGAAAAAATCAACAAAGGGCCATAATTCTGTAAAATTTGGTTGCAGCAAAAATTCCTTCTTTTACTGCCATCTACACATTAAGGTTGTCCATCCCTGGAAGTTTAAGCAAAATCTGCCATCCGGTTTAAGAGGAGTTGCGTTCACAAAATTTCTACATAGTATCTAGTGAAAAAATCAACAAAGGGCCATAATTCTGTTAAATTTGGTCGCAGCGAAAATTCCTTCCTTTACTACCATCTACACATTAAGGTTGTTCATCCCTGTAAGTTTAAGCAAAATCTGCCATCCCGTTTAAGAGGAGTTGCGTTCACAAGATTTCGGGACGTACGGACGGGACGGACTGACAGACTGACGGACAGACAAGTGCAACGCTGTATGCTCCCACATTGTTGGGGCATAAAAACACTATTGGTCAGCACACAAAATACAGGGCTGAAGGACCCACATGACTTTCGGACAAACTTCATGGCTGAAATTTAAAACAGGTCCTGGATTCAGGTTCATTTTTGTTAAAACTTTCTTTTAATCATAGGATAGATTTTCTCTAAATGATATGCATAAGCCCCTCCCCTACAAATAAAGCACTTTGCTTGGTTGTAACTGAATGTGCTAAGTTTCTCAGATTTTCAATAATCTTTTACAATTTAATGATGTTTTCCAGAGTTTTCATACAGACATATAGGCAAAATTGAAACTGTTCTAGAGAATTATTTTAAACTTGGCAAGTTGTTAGAATATAATAATAAAAACATTTTAAGGGAAAAAAATTGGGGGGCACTGCCCTCATTTTTGAGTTATCTACCAGTGAATTGGACTTTTTTGCTTAAATTAGGGGCAGATAATTCACAATAAAGATACAGGTAAACAAACCTATTTGTTTGCTTATTTAATAGAGTTGACTCCTGTTTGTGTCAATGGTGCAAAATATTAATAAAGAATAAATAGAGGATTGGCTTTTTTCCCCTTCGCTTTATTGTAACCCATTAATAAAGTGGGATTTAAAACCTTATACACCTGTCCTTAATTGACATTTGATTAAATATATAAAGTTTATACCTGAGTGTTTTATATTTTAGATTATCCACTGTTACTCCAAGGATTTCCTGGGCAGCATACCTAGCAATATGTTCCAGATAACCGCCCGATCCACCTCCTATATGACTCACAATGGATGCACTCCCAAACCTGAAAATACACAAGTTCATGTACAGCTGGTTAAATTTTACACATTCTTGATGTATTGTAACATATTCCGGCAAGTTTTGACATACGGTCAAAATTTCAAACATGATATAACATTTGAACATGAAATTTACCACAAAATTTACAGTTATGAATTTTATGTTAGAAAAAGACCTCTATAAGCATTGTATGCTTTCGGGTCTAATCCTATATCAGCATTGTATATCATGTAACTAATGATTGTGTTTAATATATGTTTGTGTGAAAATGTTTGAAGTAAAATATGTTTAAACTAACAGTAAGTGAAAGGCGTAAAGACAAATAACCCAATTACCAATAAACATAGAAATAACATAAATAGCAAGGTATGGCAGATGGTCTTTTAAAGAATGATAACTGATGCCATTTTTTTTCCTCAAGCACAATTCTAATCAGATACAGTGGCAAAGGTTTGGAAAAACTGGTTGAAAACCTTGAAGAATCCAAGTACATAATTAATGTAAATATCTTAAGTGCACCATGATTATATGGCTTAAAACATGTTATTCTGGTTATATATCAGACAAAGGAAATGAATATAATTATGAAGGAATTCAAAAAAGTTTTAAAATACTTACAAAGTATCTAAAGGAAAATCTTCAATATCAGATAGGAATGTACCTTCCTTTTGCAACATCAAGTCTACTTCACCTGAATAAACAGAAAAAAAATGCAATTAACTTCTTTTAAAAGTGTGATTTTTACTGTGATAAAAAGAATATTATATTCGTGTAAGTTCTTTACAATACAGTAACACAATGGCAAATTAAGATTTTAATCACTGTTATAAGAAAAAATTCTGGAAAAAGACGAAATTGTAACCTTAATTGATGTAGATTGTGAATTTTTGCAGAATTGTTAATGGGTCCATTGGACCCGTTCCGAAAATTGTGAAACACCCTTCGTGATTGTGAATGGGTTCGTTATTCGGAACCACTTTTATAAGGAAATAAATTGCTGATAATAAGCCCTTACAACTCGTCCAATTTTTAATCTGGACAAAACTATCCAGTTTTCCAAAAACTATCAGTTTTCCAAAATTTTCAAAATAAGAATTGACTTAATAATTAGTGCAGACCAAAATCTAAACTCACAGATTGCCTGTTGATCTAGCTCTGCACTGGTCACATGGTTGAATAATTATGAAGATTTTAAATAAGTTAAAAGTCCCAGTATAAATCAGTTGCAAATTTAACAGTGTAAGTTATAGCCTGAGCGGCATTGCAACTTTTATATAGCAAACAAGTGCTTGCAAAATGTTCATTTTAGCTCTTATAAATGTTTATTTCAATTTTATAAAAGATCACATTCCTGGTGTAATAAAAACTAAAAGAATATAAGTGTAATGATCTGACTAATTTATATAAACCTGATGTTATAACACAATCCACATCTCTGGTACTGTAAATATCACTGTAGAAATCTGGGCGTGAAGCCTCTAATTTTTTATCAAAACATGGCATCACACTGACATGGTAGATCTGGGCTGGGGACTTTGACAGACGCTTTGCAAAATAATCCTGGAATTAGGTTAAAACATTTATAATTAAAATATTATAAAACAAATACTGCTGACCTTTGATCATTGAAGATAATTTCTAAACAAAGATATGAATCAAAATATGGATTGAAATTGAGATCCGTAATTCTTAATTTTGGAAACTGTAATAAACAGAAAAACAGTTCATGTATGTAATCAGCATATACCCATACTGAATTTTAATATTAACAAGCAATTATCATAGTATTGCAAGCAATCCATAAGTCCCCTACCGGTAAGAGCCCAAGCAACATTCTGAAGGGCCATTGGCCATTCACTTAGGTTCCTATTTTAAGTAAATTTGTTGAAAAAGTTCTTTAAAAGTGATCACAGGAAACAGTTTTTATGTACAGACAGACAGACTGAAGGACACTCTAAAGTTAATTTTTAAACATCCCTGTTATCAAAATATAACATTTTTTAAAATCCTATCATGATTGAAGAAGTTGGAGTAAAAATTACCAATTTCTCAAAAAAAGTCTAAGTTCAAAAGGGGCATAATTCTGGAAATAGTCTTGCTAGAGTATTGAACACTCACAAATGTTGAGTGACAATAAGAACCATTTATATGAAGTTTGAAGTAGATACATTCAGAAAAAGAAGTTATTAAAAAAAACAATGTTTTTTTCATGAAAATTTTAAGTTCAAGGGAGGTAATTCTGATAATTTTTGTGCTAGAGTTGTAAACCTTGTCACATATGATGTGGTTGATGACAAGCAACTTATATTTTAAGTTTGAAGAAAATACCTTAAGAAATAAAGAACTTATAGTGAAAAAACTTAAAAACTAGAATCAGAAATCTTGAAATTCAGTCTATTTGTTGCCATAGCAACCAGAATTTTCAACATAGGAAGATAAAAAAGGATGTGCATAATTTCCATACTGCCATCTACCCATATGTCAAGTTTCATAAACATATTTTCAGTACTTTTTGTGTTATCACTGGATCTAGGTTATGTGTAAAATTTGCCATATTTTCAGTCTATTTGTTGCCATAGCAACCAGAATTTTCAACATAGGAAGAAAAGAAAAAGACGTGCATAATCTCCATACTGCCATCTATCCATTTATCAAGTTTCATAAAAATATTTTCAGTACTTTTTGCGTTATCGCGGGATCCAGGTTATGTGTAAAATTTGCCATATTTTCAGTCTATTTGTTGCCATAGCAACCAAAATTTTCAACATAGGAAGAAAAGAAAAAGACGTGCATAATCTCCATACTGCCATCTATCCATATATCAAGTTTCATTAAAATATTTTCAGTACTTTTTGCGTTATCGCGGGATCCAGTTTTGTGGACGGACGGACGGACTGACGGACGGACAGACGGACGGAGGGTCAACCTAAAGTCCCCTCCGGTAAACCGGTAGGGGACTAAAAATCAGATTTTCCACAAGTATCAATTTTCGCTCTATAAATTCACATGCTCTTAGCATCATTAAAAAAAAACAGTTAATATACTCGGTTCCAAAAGAAATTGTGCACTTTTTCATATTGTATATTTAGAAAATTAGCAGATGTTTCTTTTGCAAATTTGGCATTGTTAGTCCTAAGTAAACAATACATCGATCCAATGTAAAATCTATCTTGTGCTGGCACGGAATTTTCGCTTTATATGGCAATACATAATATAGCATAATTTTCACGTGCAGTCCGAGGCGAAGGTACATGTCACAGGAACTGTGTATAGACATAATCCTTATACCCACTACATAGGGAAAAACACATTTGATTTCACAGCGCTTGTCACTGAACATGCCTAGACTGAATCAAAATCAGCGAATTCAAGCATTAACAATGCTTGCTCGTGGCGACAACGTCTCCAACGTCAGTAGAGCGTTTGGTTGTCACAGAAACACAATATTTCGGTTGCACCAGTGTTTCCAGCAAACAGGTTGGGTAGCAGATCGCCCTAGACCCGGTAGACCGAGGGTTACAAACCCTTGAACAGACATGTTCATTACGTTGACGCACCATCAACGTCGTTTTCAAATGGCGACAAGTTCTGCAAGGCAGTATGGTATCAGCAAACAGACAGTGTTGCACTGCCTCAGGCAAGCCGGCAACCCATTCGGCCAAGGAGGCCCTGTGTGGGACAAGTGCTTACAGCACGTCATCGAGCTGCCAGTTTGCAGTGGGCACAACGTCATTTCCGTTGGGGGCGACCTAGTACATTCTCGAGACAAAATCGTATCCTAATGACACCGGAATTTAAAGTTTAAAGTCACGATTATAATGTACATGTTTGATCTTGATTTTGGTACCAAATACGTGGACATTAAGCATAATGGGCAATGGAAAAAAAAAGGCCGAAAAAAAAGTGCACACATTTTTTTTGGAACCTAGTATACAACACAGCATCATTAATATCAGATAAATAGAGTGATGTCTTATTGCTTACACAAAACAAAACAGAAATGTGAACTAAAATAATTTCCTCTAAATTTAAATCACTGACAAAATCACAAAAATCTCCTGTATGCAAATATATAGCTTAATACATGTATACGTATCTTATGTTTGAGTTAATTATACAAGTAAATATATAACCTGTTATATGGTATGTTATATTTGAGTCAATTAAATAAGTAAGGATGTCTCTTTGTTTCAGTGAACATAACAAACAGCTTTGAAATGCTACTTGACTATAAAATCACATGGTACACACATTGAGTTTTTATCCGACTCAGTCATATGTTACTGATACAGGGCTTGTGAGACACAGAGCTGTGTCCTAAATCCTAAATACCAAGCTATAAATCCTGAATACCAAGCTATAAATCCTAAATACCAAACTATAAATCCTGAATACCAAGCTTTGAATTTACTTGTACAACTTTTTAATTATCTTTGGTACAACCAGGTTAGGAATCAAACCCGTGACATCTTGCACACAAAACTGTCATTGTGCCAAAGATCAACAGCTGTAATTTTGAATAAAATAATGAGTACCTTCACAATAGATCCCATAATTTGTTGAGGTGACTTTACTTTACTGATGTAAGGCAGTATATAGGAACCATGTGTCTTCTCTGCATAACATATCCAACCTGAATAACACAAGTTAAAAAGCATTCAGTTTGAACATTTAAGCCAAATTGAAAAAACAACTTCTGTCAGCTTATATAAGTCACTTTTTTAGAAATAACCAGAACATGAAAACATGGTCATGACCCAAGAAAGACTTGAATCTGGCTTAGATCTCAAACACATAAGATAAGAGGCTGGTACCTTAGTTAATAAGCCACTGCTATCATAAAGCTGAAATTCATTTTCATATACACAATCAATCCATGCCAATTGTGAAATACAGGTTACATTTAGAAAAACCTATGAAATGTTACATAAATCAAGGCAAAATTACAGTAGACAACGGTCTGAAACCACAATTTCTTCTGTAAACTTGTTGAATATCTTCACATTATTAAACAAGAGGGCCATGATGGCCCTGAGGTCGCTCACCTGTATATAGCCCCCCCCCCCAACCCCCCCCCCCAACGTTGCAGGGCCAATTTAACCCAAGGGCTTTTATTTGCACAAACTTGGTAGACACATCTAAGCTCTAGCTCATTGGGCTTTTTAAAAGAAGATTTTTTTAAAGTTTTTACTATACACATATAGTTAAAAACAATGACACCCCTGGGGCCGGGCCAGTTTTGACCCCAGGGCTTTTATTTAAACAAACTTTGTAGACACTTACTAGAAGATGTTTCATGCTTAATATCTAAACTCTAGCTATTTGGGTTTTTTCAAAGAAGATTTTATGTTTTTGCTATACACATATAAAGAAAATCAATGACCCCCGGGGCGTGGCCAATTTTGACCCCAGGTCTTTTATTTGAACAAACTTTGTAGACACTCACTAAAAGATGTTTCATGCTTAATATCTTAACTCTAGCTATTTGGGTTTTTTCAAAGAAGATTTTTTAAGTTTTTGCTATACACATATAATGAAAATCAATGACCCCCGGGGCGGTGCCAATTTTGACCCCAGGGCTTTTATTTGAACAAACTTGGTAGACACCTATTAGAACATGTTTGATGCTAAATATCTTAGCCATAGCTCTTTGAGTTCTTTAAAAGAAGATTTTTTAAGTTTTTACTATATGCATATAGGGAAAATCAATGACCCCCCGGGGCGGGGCCAATTTTGACCCCAGGGCTTTTATTTGAACAAACTTGGTAGACACTCACTAGAAGATGTTTCATGCCAAATATCTAAGCTCTAGCTCTTATGGTTTTTTAAAAGAAGATATTTAAAGTTTTTTCTTTCGGTTGCCATGGCAACCAGAGTTCTGCATGGAATTAAATTCTTTGAACAATTTTTAAAGGTGACCACCAAAGGAACATTCCTGTGAAGTTTGGATGAAATTGGCTTAGTGGTTTATGAGGAGATGTCATTTAAAGTAAAAGTTTACGGACGGACGGACGCCGGACGAAAAGCGATCACAAAAGCTCACCCTGTCACTTTGTGACAGGTGAGCTAAAAATCAACATCCTTTGCATAACAAGAGGAACAACTCACCAGGACAGGCAGAAGCTAACATAGGAAATGCTGCTGGTGTAACTTCGGATTCTTTATAACGATTTACAAATTCTCGACAACTCTCTATCAAACTGAATCCTCGAGCAAACGTAGTGTCTAGCACATAATGTACACCTGAAATAAAACAACATTCAAACTGTTCCACTACACTTCGATCTTCATAATCTTTTTAGCTTTAATCATCTGAATTTTTGGATATGATAAAAGCAGAAAACCTCATGCTAATTTTCATGGAAATTTTGAAAATGTATTTAAAATTAGAATATTGTGAAGTAACCAATAGGAATCAATTTACACATTACAAACATCACTCACAATCCACATAAATTACCAATATGAGGTCAAGTTATTCCAAAACAGCCTTTACTGCATTAGTAATGCAGTAGAAAGATGGTCATTAATACTGAAATCATTTATCGCATATCACATGTAAATTATTATTAAATCTTGAATCTTTTTTACTTTTCCTAAGATCTTAGTACATTTTTCGTCAGGTTTGATTTTATTTAAATATCTCGACTCATCTGGAGGTATGCAGCTGTAATACTTATATTACTTAATTTGCATAGAGCGCAAATGGCAATCATTAATTTCATAACCTGGACAGACTGCATGGATTTAAAGACTGTCTTGGCTCTATACACGTGGCAGAAGCTTTGCTGCTTTGATTCCAACATTGTAAGGACTACCTTTACTGAGTGTTGAAACCATCTATGCATCTCTGTCCTACATGTATACAAAGAAGGCTTTCGGCTGTTCCTACTTTTTATATCTTTATGCCAATTCAAAATCTTACAATCCATTCATACTCACTGATCTAAATTCAACTTTAACTTATTACTTTAAAACTCATATCTGTAAAGCTGTAAAGTTAATAAGTGAATACTTAAAACTTTTAAGCAATTTTTGACTTCCCAAGCCCTTTCTGATAGCTTTAAAGATAAGGTGCCACTATGTGCATTTTTTCAGCAAATGGTGCATAGGGACACATATCAACTTAAGGTAAGTTTCTCAGTCATTAACCTTAGACCTTTAACAATCCTTAAATCTTCTTAAGACTTTTACAGTCTAACAAGACCTCTAAGTTCTTACATAACTATATTGTTATAACCCTATAAAAGACAATAACACTAACCTAGTTTTTTGAAGAATGCTGTTAGTTTGTGTGTAGCTTCTGTCATATTGAGGTTATATTTAGCTGCTAGAGAAGCTCGGGCCTGCGGACACACTGATATCACTACAATCTTCTCTTCATCTGACTTGCCATCCTGTATTATAACACAAAATATTACAACCTCTTATTTTTATGTTCTAATTTAACAATATAAAATGTTTGCTTGTTTGTTTATTTAATGTTTGTTTCATTTTACGCCTTTCCCCAACAGTATTTCAGTCATATAGGCTGGTAGTTTCCTAACCATCGTTCCTGGAGAGTTACACCAGTACTAGACTACCTTCCTCCACGCTAAACTACCAAAGCATCTCCCGGGGATCGAACCCACGCCAAAGAGGTAACTGGATTAGAAGTCATTGACTCTAACCCCTCGACCACGGAGGCGGTATTAATATAAAACAAGCATTTGATAGTATTGCGGGCAATACAGTAGTCCCCTACCGGTCCCTCAAAAAGTTCTTTAATTGTCATACACTCCTGTGTATTGCCATTTATAATGAATTTGAGGATGAAGTCTGTATTTGAAAATATCAACCACAAAACATAATAAAATAAGTTTGTCTATATCACAGTAATGTGTTAAGTTTCCATGCTTAGTAAGGAAATTATGTTTATACAACCTTGTCATATTATTACGATGTGGGATTTTAAAGTAAATCCTATAAGGAATGAAGAAGTTGAAGTGAATATACCAGTTTCTCGAAAAAAAACTAAGTTCAAGGGGGACATAATTCTGGAAATAGTCTTGCTAGAGTATTTAACCTTCTCAAAAATGTCGAGTGATAATAAGAAACATATATATGAAGTTTGAAGTAGATACATTAGGAAATAAAGAAGTTATTTAAAAAAGACAACATTTTCCCCCTAAAAAATCTAAGTTCAAGGGCGGTAATACTGATATTTTTTGTGCTAGAGTTATAAACCTTGTCACATATGATGTGGTTGATGACCAGAAACTTATATTTAAAGTTTGAAGTAAACACCTTAAGAAATAAAGAACATATAGTGAAAAAGCTGAAAAATTTAAATCAGAAATCTTGAAATTCAGGCTATTTGTTGCCATAGCAACCAGAATTTTCAACATAGGAAGAAAAGAAAAAGATGTGCATAATCTCCAGACTGCCATCTACCCATATTTCAAGTCTCATAAAAATATTTTCAGTACTTTTTGAGTTATCACTGGATCCAGTTTATGTGTTAAATTTGCCATATTTTCAGACTATTTGTTGCCATAGCAACCAGAATTTTCAACATAGGAAGAAAAAAAAAGACGTGCATAATCTCCATACTGCCATCTATCCATATATCAAGTTTCATAAAAATATTTTCAGTACTTTTTGCGTTATCGCGGGATCCAGTTTTGTGGACGGACGGACTGACGGACTGACAGACAGACAGACGGACAGACAGACGGACGGACGGAGGGTAAACCTAAAGTCCCCTCCGGTTAAACCGGTAGGGGACTAATAAGAGGATATTGAATGAGTGTGAAACTCAATGAAAAAACAAATATAAACAACATGTTCAATTAATTAAGTATTGAAGCTACACGAATACAGTATCACATTTTTTTGTTTACAAATAAAGAGTCATTTTTCATTGACGCCCAATAAGTGTAAAATGGACATTGGGTTTGGTTTATACAGACTTTATTTTAGTTTGATTATGTAGGAAGCTATAAGCTTATAGACACACTTTTGAATGCCTACATTTGCGCACTTTAACGCTATGTTTGTATATAATGCAAATGATGTCACATCAAGCTCATTATGTTGGGTGAAAAGGCGAAATTTTAGTATTTAATCGTTCAAGCGCCTTGTCCGGTATATACAGGAATACAGTATATAATATGGTGCTCCAACACCTTTTAGTCTCACTAATAAAACGTAACCTTCTGTAAAAATATTACCTTCTGTAACTGATTATTTTCTTGCAGTATCCTATACAGCTCATCTTGACTTTGTTGAGTTATAAGTACACTTTCTGCAGAAGTTATACATCCACTACATGCCAGGCAATCGTTCAATGTGATCTGTGCTTTCTGTAGCTTCGTTTCCTTTCCTCCCTGTAAAGATGAACTTTTCATTTAGTTGAAGCATATTTATATAATATTCTGAATTTGAGTATCGGATTTGACCTGCTTTGATCAGAGGTACAGTCTATTTAAAGTTACTATGACTTCAATATCAAAATACATAAATCAAGCTATCAACAGTATAGAGCCTTGTTAGTCCAACTAATTGTACTGTGTGATGAGATATTGTGCTATTTTGTGTCTGGGCAATATTGGCACGTCAATATATTTTGACTAAAAGCCTTGTCAAAGTGCATGGATATGTTCATAATTCAGCCTGCTAAAGGTCACATGGCCACTTTTCTGGTTGAGGAAGAACTCTCCCTGGTGCCCTTTGGTGAATTACTTAAGGCACAAGCAAGCATGTTGAGTAGAACCAATGATTTTCATTCGGCTAGCCAATACAGTGTATTAGCTAATCCAAGGTCCATTGTCCAATTCAAATTTACTGCAGTTAAGAACTAATGATTTTTACAGTCAGGAATGCTAAGCAGTTTCACACAAACCATTTTTTATCAGTTTATAGTTTTCAAGTTATGATATTTAGTATAAGTGATCTTGACCCTTGCACTTAACGTCCTTAACCAGCTGAATTGATGGGCTTCCATTTTCAGATTGGTTTTAACATATTTAAGCTAGATTGTGAAACAAGTTCTTGCAACTTACGGGTATATTAATCACTTTCGAGTCCACTTCCTGAAACCAACCAGTACTGGTGTCATGTGAAGAAAAACAGTCATGACCCGATTAGGGCTCGAACCCATAATACCTGAATTGAGAGGCAGACACCTTAACCACTAGGCCACCAGGACCTCTAGGTCAAGGTCAAAGGTAAAATAAATACTGACCTCTGACACATTAAAGTAACTGCCATCATCTTCTATCCGAATTTTCCCCACTTTCCCAGCAGTCCTGTCTATCTTAACTGGCTTTATACATTCCTGAAAATACAACGTAAATAAGAATTTTATTCTGCGTTCATATAAATACACTATAGTAACTATATGTATACAAAACAAGAGCTGTCACAGGAGACTGTAAGCCAAGCTCTACTAATAAAATACTGGACGCAGTAAGGAGGACAAAACTATGAAAGAAAAATCAATTATGTATAATAATGTATTAAGTTATAGTAAAAAATAACATTTGTTAACATAAAAATTCCAAGATCAAGGGGAAATAATTTTAGAAATAGTCACGCTAGAGTTATGAACCTTGTCACACAACATGTGTGTTATGATAAGAAATATATATTTGAAGTTTGAAGTAGATACCTTAAAAAGTAAATAAGTTATAATATTTCTTAAAGAAAATCTTAAGTTCAAAGAGAGATAAATCTGTAAATATTGATTCAAGAGTTATGAACATTGTCACATAAAATGTAATTGATGATAAAAAATAAGTATTTGAAGTTTGAAGTAGATACCTTTAAAACTAAAAAAGTTATAGTAAAAAATAACATTTTTCTTGTAAAAAAATCTAAGTTGATGGGGAGATAATTCTTGCAATATTGGTGCTAGAGTTATGAACCTTGTCACATAAGATGGGGATGATGATAAGGTACATATATTTGAAGTATGAGGGTGATCCCTTAAGAAATAAAGAAGTTACAGTAAAAAATAGTATTTTTTAAGGAAAATTCTAAGTTCAAGGGGAGATAAATCTGAAAATATTGGTGCTAGAGTTATGAACCTGTCACATAAGAATGGGGATGATGATAGGTACATATATTTGAAGTATGAGGGTGATCCCTTAAGAAATAAAGAAGTTACAGTAAAAAATAGTATTTTTTAAGGAAAATTCAAAGTTCAAGGGGAGATAAATCTGAAACTATTGGTGCTAGAGTTATGAACCTTGTCACATAAGATGTGGTTGATGATAAGGAACATATATTTGAAGTTTGAAGTTAATACCTTAAGAAATGACAAAGTTATAGTGAAAAATATTTTACTGCACCAAAACTTTAATCTAAAATCTGGACGCGGACGCCGACGCCGGGGCGAATAGGACAGCTCTCCATATACTTCGTATAGTCGAGCTAACAAGAGCTGTCGATAGGACCTCATGCGTGACTATTTTCAGTGCATAATACAAATACAAGAGACTGGATAATGTAGGAATTATGTTCTAAAGGGGCCATAATTCTGTCAAAATCCACTTCAGAGGTATCAGCCTTGGACAGTGACCTTTTATAATGCTCCCATATAATTTGGGCTAAATTTTTTTCCATGTTTGGGCTGTGACATACATTTAATTTCATGTATTTTTTTTACCCTAGATGACCCATATTCAAACAACCAAACAACATTTCTGACAAAATTTTAAGGATATCTGGACTTAAATAGTAGTCTCTCCATCATGGACAATACTTTTTCTATTTTAGGGTCATGTAACCTAGTTTTTCATCCGAGATGACCCATATTTAAACTCATGTGAGTAATTACTTGAACAAACATCCTAAGTCTCGGGACAAAATGAGGCTTTGTGAATACTAGAAGGTTAATTATTTAAGTGTGGACAGACGACAGACAACGGACATTCATCAACCCTAATACTTGTAACTCACCCTGAGCCTACCAATAAGACAAAAGGGATATGATGGCCTATATATCAGCTCACAAGAAAGATAGGTAGACAGTCACTTAAAAATAATTTCTTTTTTATTGTCTCAAAATCGGAGCAAATATTTTATAATTTATACAATGTAATTTCTATAATTGATTTTATTTACAAGTACAATTGGAAGCGACCCCTACACAAAGTGCCATGTTGTTGTTTTTTTAACAAATCAAAAACATCAAATTAAAAGACTTTTTGTCTGCCCTTTTATATACATATTAATTTTTTTTCATCAAATCAAAATAATTTGAAAATAGTGATCAACATTCAGAAATTATCATGAATCAAAATAAATCAATATTCTGTTTGTTTTAAAGCAATATAATTTTTCAGTCAGTGGTGGCAATTATATTCTTATTATTTGTGGGAGTAAGATTTTTTATTTTGATCATGATAATGAAGAATGCCTTAAAGGCCCATTTAATGCCTCTGAAATGCTTTTATTTTTATTGCTCAAAAGCTTTGTAGATTACTTTTTGTGAACTCTTATAGTTTCCAAAAAGTTACTTAATTGAAACCAATTATTGGAACTATTTCTCTCTTCTGTTGCTTTTTTGCAGTTAGTACAGTTAAAGTGATTTAGTTTTTAGTATATAAGTCAAAATACTACTTAATTTACATAATGTAACTTTTATGACAAATTATTTCACATTTAGTGCTACTTTCTTCATGTAAAAAGCATCTAAAATGCGCTAAAACCATTATTTAAACATTATAATATTCAATATTTGCCCTTTCTAAAACAGCAAAATTTTTATTTGTTTCTCAGGCATAATATGCTTTTAAAAATATCATTATTTCATACTTATTTTACCTTGG